ACCTTTCAGCTGTCTCTGCTCTGCTATCAGCAAAGACATAAAAACTAAACTCAGAAAATAGTTATAAATTATCTAAGCTAGTGGTCTGGCTGAAGGCTGAAGGATAAACCAGATAAACAGACTTATGTAAACAGACTGCTTTAAATTTAATGCGTCAGCTGAGCTCCAAACCAACCAGGAGAAAAACTCAACTTTGGTGTTTCTCCTGGTTGGATCTGATCTGATCTGAACCCAAAGTTCAGCTGAACTTTGGGTTCAGATCAACTCCTGCAGACCCAAAGTGGTGCAAAGCCAGAGGAGCTGCTCTGCGTCACTGTGTGGCTCAACTGCGAACATATGTTCTGCAAAATATGGAGACTTCTGATAAAACAGCTAAAACAAATAAAAAAAAAAATACATCTGCTCTGAAAAAATAAACTTTATCTAAAAAGCAAACAAACAAAGCGAAGGATCGCAGCTTGGACTGTTTTATTGAGGTAATAGAGCAGCTTGCCTCCACATGAAGAAAAGCCAAATCCACATCATGGGACAGTAAAGTTCAGCAGGCAGTCAGTAGACTGACTGTTTCTGAACGGCACGTGCTTCCTGGCTGTTTGTTGCTGATCAGAGGTAGAAGAAGGCTGGTTACTCACCTGCTGCAGCCGCGTTCCTTCACTCAGTCCTCTGTTACCTTTGCTCACCTCACATTTTCACTCAACTTCTCACCTCGGCCGCTAGGGGGCGAGCGCGCAATTACCAACTTTACCGTAATGTTTGCTGTAGCTGGGAAACTGGGATTTTATTTAAATTAAAAGACAAGCCCTCTATAAAAAAAAGAAAATTAAGAGAACCTTAAAAAAAGTCACAGGTGGTTTATCATAATCATATTTTATATTTATAGTCGTATTTTATTATTGTATGTTTTACAGATACTTCTCATGTTAACATAAACTAAAAATATTAAATTTTTAATAAATATGAATGTTTTGTTACTTTAGGTAGCTTCAATTATTTCAACTTTAACTTTTTTCAAATGAAAGTATTTTCAATAAAGTGTATTTTATTTATTTTTATTTTTAACTACAATTTGGTAAAATATTTTGGAATTTTTTTTCTCATTTTTTCTCCCAATGAGGTTTAGCTCAAACCTCCAGATGTAACTGATATATATAAAAAATAAGCAGCTAAGATTTATTAAATGTCATGATGTGAGATTTACTGGGCTACGTTAAATTTAAATATTTTGAATTTGAAGCCATAAAAACACACATATCAGATGTGGCTAACCGTGTTCTTTGATTATGTTTGAGGTAAAGTTGATGTCAGTCTGGACATGATGCCCATTTACACTGCAAAAATGATCTAGAAATAAGTAAAAACGTCTTAAATTAAATGTATTTACCCTTAATTTAAGTAGGTAAATAAGATTAATTGCCAATGGGATGAGGATATCTACTCTTAAAATAAGATAATTAGATAAAATGCACTTGAAATAAGACAATAAATAGTTTTTTTCATATTTTAAATGTAAATTGTCTTATTCCATTGGCAAAGTGTCTCATTTACCCCCTAAATTCAAGAAAAAATGACTTATGTAGATTTTGATTTTTTCCAGTGTAGGCCACTGAAAGTAGCAGGGATCCTAATGTCTGCAGGCAATGCCAGGTCTATAATAGAAAACTGATCAATCTCCTGATTTTCATGCTTAGCTTTCAAGTCATGTTTCTGAAATTCATCCAAAAATAAAAATAACTTGAGGAACTTATTATTTTTTCAGCTGTAGTCTCTGTAACATTTAATCAGCTCCTAGATGTAACTGCCAGAATCCTGCCGACAGCAGGAAAATGGATAAAACTCATTTTTACAACTTCTGCAAAGTATCCATCGCTGGATTTACCGTTTCTGCTTGGAAGTTTATAAATCCTTAAAATAAGCACAAAAAAATCAGCATTAAAATAAATCAAAAATGACAAAAGTTTGATTAAGTAAAAAAAAAAAATCATGACACAGACTTTGAATATATAGATATATAAACATAAAAATTCATAATAGACGTAAACCATAAACCAATCAAACATTTACTAAGTTATCACAACAGTATATTTATATGAATGCAAACAATAAAAAACATTATAAAAACTGTTTATAAAAACAAAACATAATTTAATGTGCAGGTTTATTTTTGTTATTTTTATCTTCTGAGGCTTTGAAGTTTAATCTAGTCCAATATTGAGTCATAAACCTAAAAAAAATAGTTTTTTAATATATAAAAACTATTTTCTGAGAATGTGTTTATTTAAGAGCAACTATGCAAAAGAACAAAGATCTAGAAAAAGTAGAACATATTCTATTATTTTCGCTAATATGAATAATAATAATATTGAAATGACATTTTATTCTCATGATTTGCTTTTCAGTAAAACATTTTTCCATCACCTTAAATAGTAAATGCTGCTGAGCAAATGGGCTTGCCTCCCCTTACCTGGCATTACGGTAAAAATGAAGCGTTGCCATGGAATTACGGAAATACATGCGCAGGCTGCAGACCGGCTGGGGGGGGGGGCTCTGAGACCAACTGAAGGAGGGAAAGAAGCTACAGACTGACTTCCGGTGAGTAGATTCTCTTCTTTGTTGCTTAATCCGAGTTTGTATAACAGCAGTTTTATAAGCAAAGGTCTTTAGATTATGTAGAAAATCCCGATTTATCCGCCTCAGAGATTACCCCCCCCACCCACCCCCCAGACTGGCTCCATTAAAGGAGACCGAAGCAGATGGAGGAACAACAACAACAACAACAACAACACAGGAGATGGAAGCTTTACCTGCGGAAATGTTCCCAGCGATAATCCCAGTTTTCTACATGGCTGCCTGCGTAACAGCAGGCTGCTCTACATACATAGATCTGTGGCTGCTCTGCATGCATGGATCTATGGCTGCTCTACATGCATAGCTCTATGGCTGCTCTACATGCATAGATCTGTGGCTGCTGAGGCACAGGACGTCCATCCCTGGACCTTTTCAGGGATCCTGGATGTTTTTATTGTGCAGAAAGTTTGACCTAGATCCGCCTGCTTGTTCCTCAGCCTCTATATTTCCCTTCCAGGTGACTGACTGATCCTCCTGATGCAGGATGCAGGATGCCATCATACAGGATCGAGCAAAGCAGGGATTCAGCCCATAGTTTGGATTTACTCCTGCTTCATTTGACTCTTTAATGGACGTCTTCTGTACTGAGAATGAAAGATGCAGGTTTAGAGACCGTGAATGAAATCAGGGAAAGCGAAGGAGGACGGTGAAGATCAGGTCCAAGATGCTTCAGACTGGAAACTATTCCCTGGTTCTGCTGGTCCAACTGGTGCTGCTGACCTATGACCTCTTTGTGAACTCGTTCAGTGAACTTCTGAGAAGAGCTCCTGTCATCCAGCTGGTGCTTTTCATGTAAGTCATAAAAAAATAACCAGATAATACAAATATAATGAGACACACACACACACACACACACACACACACACACACACACACACACACACTCGGGTATATTTATTCCCTTTCTGAAGGATGCATCATTTTCCAGGATTTCTGAAGTTGTAGGCTGCCAACAATAATGATAATTACTATTTTTCAAATAATTTAGTAAAATCTAAATGTAAAAATTAATAGAAATGTAGGAAGTTTAGTAGGATGTTGTTTTTTAATCCAATCTGACAAAAAAATGTCCATTTACAAATTCTGAATTATTGTACGATGCAGAACCTCTGATGCATAAAGGAAAGGATTTGACCTGCAAATACTAAATAATAGAAAAATGGCTGATTCTGATATTTGACGTTTGTTTCACTAGTAAATATGTATCAAAGGTGATCCTTAAAAAACAAACATTTAATATTGAAAAATCTCAAAGTTCGACATTTTCTCTGATTTTCTTTTCAGATCCAAACATTTCTGACATCATAGCTCCGCCTTTTAATGATTTTTATTTTTCTGTTAACAGGAATTTATTTCTGAATTATTAATTCCAAGTATTAAAGTAAAGTTAAACTTTTTTACATTAAAGAAGATAAAATGGCTTCAATAAATAATGAAAGTAAAGGATCCCTGTGGGATTGATCGTCTCCACCAGCAGCTTTTCTATTTTCACTATAATCCCTGAAAACATCAGCCGCCATTTTTTTCACCCAGGAAATGTTTTAGATGTTTAATGCAGGAGGCAGAAACCTGCGTCTACTTTCACCAACATTAGTCTAACATAGATGCAGCACTGCCCCTCCCCCACCTGTTGGCGTGTGCTGCAGGTCTGATGGCTGGAGGATGGATGCAACACCGTTTGTAGAGACGCAGACGGCCGTAGTGTAAAGATTAAAGGGGCGGCGGCCATCAGTCTTATTAAGGCTGAAGGCTTTACCTGAACAGTTAGCCCGGCTAACTTCAGATTATTGTTGTGTTACTATATAAAGAGCAGCAGATTATTCAGACTCTGCACAAGTGTGTGACTTTATTTCCTCACGCCGACCGTAGTGAGAGAATTTATCACTGAGTGACACCAGCACAGAGGAAGAAAATAAAAAAACTTTACTGACCGTTTCCTGAAAAACATCTGAACCTTAAAGTTTCTTAAAATACTCAATTAAACCTTTTCTTCTTAATTATAGTTTTGTAAAGATATGTTTTAATGAAAGTTTAATTGTAGAAGTTTTTAAAAATGAAACATGTTTACAGGAAAGGTGTCACATCTTCATCCCATTTCAATAAAATCAGCTCAGCAGGATGTATTCATGTTTTATGACGTCACCATCTTTGAATGACATCACACTGAAGCTCCTGTGTTTGCAGCATCCAGGACATCGGCATCCTCTTCAACGTCATCATCATCCTCCTGATGATGTTCAACACCTACGTGTTCCAGGTGGGCCTGGTTTCTGTCCTGCTGGGCAGATTTAAGGCTCTGCTGCTCTTCTCTGCTCTCTACCTGACCCTCAGCATCTGCTTCCACTGCTGGCTGTTGGTACGGCGACGCCTTCACACGGTCACACCCAACCACAAACAGATTTAAATGATTAATTCGCTGTTTTAAGCGTTAATTGGTTTCCTTTGAAAGCTCAGTATTGATCGGATCTCTGTCAGCCTCTGGGATCAAACAAACTTGAACTGAACCCGTCTGACAACAGGAAGTAGAACATCAACACGTCTGTGACTTCAGCAGCTCTACTCATCCAGAACCACATGCAAAGCTCTATAGAGCTGCAGATATCAGGGATTAAATGCCTTTAGGGGGAAACTTTGGTCAAAGATTCTCGCAAAATATCTAAACATAGATTTATGGAAGCAGCCGTTCAAAATGTTCCTTCCCATCAAACGCCAGCCGAATAGCGGCCCCACTTCCCTCCATCTTCCAGCCCCTGCAGGGACCCCCTCCCCTCCACTCCACCCTTTCACTGAATTACAGGGTCTGACCAGCAGATGGCGCTTCTCTTTAGAGCTTAATGTCCACAAATCATGACAGAATATTTAATACAAAGATTGATGTTTAAAAAGGAATTGTAGGGGACCAGCCAGGGGCCCATTAAGGACCAGCCAGGGGCCCATTAAGGACCAGCCAGGGGCCCATCAAGGACCAGCCAGGGGCCCATCAAGGACCAACCAAGGACCAACCAGGGGCCCATCAAAGACCAGCCAGGGGCCCATCAAGGACCAGCCAGGGGCCCATCAAGGACCAACCAAGGACCAACCAGGGGCCCATCAAAGACCAGCCAGGGGCCCTTTAAGGACCAGCCAGGGGCCCCATTAAGGACCAGCCAGGGGCCCTTTAAGGACCAGCCAGGGGCCCTTTAAAAGAAGTGGGGAAATGTTGAAAGGCTCCTACTGTAAGACTGATGGAGGCAGTTGTTTCCGCTAAGTTTAATCCAGTTTAAACTTAATCCAGTTTAAACTTAATCCAGTTTAAACTTAATCCAGTTTAAACTTAATCCAGTTTAATGCTGCGTGATTCGTTTCCTTCTTAGTAAAATGTTTCCGTCGGTTTGGATAAATTGATCTTATTATTAAATCAAAGCAACATTTTAAATCTGTTTCTGAGAAGTTCGTATTCAAAGTGTATTCTAGGTGTTTTATCTTCCTGTTCCCAGAACCTCCGATGGTTGGACTCCAACCGTTTCGTGTGGACAGACGGTCTCCTGGCTCTCTTTGTTTTCCAGAGGACAGGTAAGTCCTCCCATTAGTCTCACAGATCCAGACCTCAGTGTCTGTCCCACTAACAGTTCCTGTCCTTCACCAGCGGCTGTGTTCTACTACTACTTATACAAGCGCACAGCCGAGCACATGGGGGACCCAAGGCTCTACGAGGACTCCATGTGGCTCAGGGAGCAATTCGCCAGAGCTCGCCAGTGACGGCGGGACGGAGACGACCAGACTGGGCAGGCTGATGGAGGACTGGGAGGACCATTGAGGGGGACCTGCTATCCTTGCAGTCTGACGTTGGTCTGAAATGTGTTGGAATATAAGAAGAGGATGGATGGTCAGAGAAGGACTGATGTTTACTTGCTGTGAGCGCGGCGTTGTGAGCGCGCGGCGCCGTG